ACAGGGTGCGCTTGTCTGCATTGCAAAAGTGGCTCTGGCAGCAACGCGGTGGCGCATGGTGGCCCACGACTAGCAAGGCAAGCAACTCCTCAGCATCTTGAGCTACTCACACTCAGGGCATCCCAGATTTGCACATGCTCAACGCACAGTGATACTATGTCCTACGCTCCATAAAACCTTTCGGCAACTGTTTCGCACCAGCGCATCTCAAGTCTTCAGAAGGCCCGTGCAACATTGTGGCTTCCGCCAGTGGCATGCCTGTGCTTCTTTTCACTTGTCAAACAAGTCCTGGGTGTCAAAGGCTTGACGCCACACCAGCGCGACTTGACGTCAAACTAGCTGGCCCTGCGTGGCGCGGCTATCAATATAGCACTGTTCCTTTTGCATTTCCGGCTCTCGTGAAAATTGCTCTGCTTTGCAAATCTGGACAAAGCAAGCGGACACATGCCGCACCATGCACCTACCACAAGTACTGCAACCGAGCTGGTCCAAACACTCAATGCAGAAGTGAACAAGCAAGGCACGGCGCTGCTCGCACGCGCAAAGGCAGAGGTTTCTGTTGCGCCTTTCACGCAATCTCTGCGTGAGTAGCTACGCGTCGCTAGCCAGTGCCACTGCAACTTTCAGGGCGGACTCTGGAGGCTTAGCCGCAAGCATTTGCAAGAATATGCAGGAAACTTCCTGCACCAAACACTGACTGTGTCAGTCTCAGGGAAGCCTGGAGGCTTTCAGCACCGCAGCATTGCCTCCGACCGAGCTGTGTAAAGCGCATCTCCCAGCCAGCTACTCCGCAAATGCAGGTGCGACTGACCCTTTCCAACACTAAGCTGAGAAAGCGTGCCAGGCAGCTTGCCCAAAGGGTTGAGGCGCGAAACTCATTTCAGCTTGCGCTTGTCGCGCAATGCCCAAACAAACCCTCCGCTCGCACGAAAGCAGCAGGCATAAGCAGCATGCGCAAGCGGCAGGTTCAAGCGGCAGGTTCAAGCAAGCAGTCACAGGCGCGAGCGCAGGTGCAAGTGGCTGGCGAGCCCTGGTGTCGTGTGTAGGCGACTGTGCGCTTAGGCGCCAAGAGCGTGTCAGGCGACAAGGCCGCGCGCGCCCATACCATGCGTTCTGCTTACGAGAATGCCCCACTGCATTCAGCAAGGCAGGCAACTTATCAAAATCGTGCCGCAGGCATGGCATCACAGCTTTGATGCTCAGTTGTAGTGATACTCTGCCAGCCGTTGGCAATCTTCTCGCGCCTACATCTCAGGTCTTCTGCAAATCTGTGCGACTCCCGGCCAGCGTGTTGCTCGAACATGCAACACGCCTTGCACTTGTCAACCCGCCGGCAACAGCCGGCCTCTGTGTGGCAGCTATCGATGTAGCGACGCTTGCGCTTTTCAAGCGCTCCTGAAATTGCTCAGCTTAGCCAAGCTGCTGAGACAAGCAAACGGACACTTGCCACACCATCCAACTACCGCAAACTCTGCAGTCGATTCAGCCCAAAAGCCCAACACAGAAGTAAACAAGCAATGCGTGGCGCTGCTTGCGCGCGAAAAGACAGTGATCCTGGGTGTGCCTTTCGCGCAGTCTCTGAGTGTGCAGTCTTTGAGCGCCAACTTTCTGAGCACAAATCCCCTCAGCGCCCAGTGCTACTGCAACCTTCAGGATGATCTCTGGAGTCTCATTGCAGGACTGCATCCTACACAAGCAAAACGCAAAGCTGCCAGGGTCAGCCCCAGGAAATGGAACTCCAAACAACAGCTTGCTCAACTGCGAGCATCGTCCAAGACGTTCAGCACAGCGAGATCGCTCCACAAGTCTGCGCATCCGCATCGGGCTTGATTTGCTCTTTCCAGCACTAGAATTTACTGTTGTGCCCAGCCCTTATTGCAGGCTGCCCTTGCCCCTCAGTCATGGAATGCTCGAAATGCCTCTTAGCTGCATTCAACCGGCAGGGGCGAGCAGCAACACGTGTGCGCATGTGATGATGTCTGTGTGTGTGTGTGTCTATGTGTTCGATTGTGCTGGCACGTCTGTGCACCTGTGCGTCCGTTGGAGCTGTTGCATTGAGACAAGCACTGCAAGCAAGGCTGCGGTCTTGCAGCGCGTGCCAAATGTGAGAATTCAACCACGCGCCAAGATCCTGCTGGTGACAAGGCTGAGCCCACACGTTGCTTTCCGCCACGATCACGCTCTACCGCATTCAGCAAGGCAGGCAACTGATCAACATTGCGCCATGCCCATAGTCACGGCAACACAGCTTCGCAAATGCTCAGTGCGCAGTGCTACTCTGCCAGCCGTTGGCAATCTTATCGCAGCTACATCTCAAGTCTTCAGCACATCTGTGCGACTCCCCGCCCGCGGCCTGCGTGTCTCCAACATGTGGCGCGCCTCGCGCTTGGCAAACATGGCCTCGAGGTCAAACTGCCCAGCACAGCAACAGCTGGCTCCGCTGCCGCTCGAGGTGAAACTGACGTCTTTGCATTTGAAGCGTTCCTGAAATTGCTCAGCTTTGGCAAGCTGCTCAGACAAGCAAGCGGACACTTGCCACACCATGCAACTACCACAAACTCTGTAGTCTATTCGGCCCCAAAACCCAACACAGAAGTGGACAAGCAATGCATGGCGCTGCTTGTGCACTACAAGACAGAGACCCTGGCTGCGCCTTTCGGCCAATTGTTGCTGGGCGGGCACTTTCTGAGCACAAAGTCCATTGCTGCCCAACGCCAATGCAACCTTGCAAGACTCTGGCCACTTAGCTTGAACATTTGCCTTCTCGGGCGCAACATTACAAGCTGCAGGAGACCGGCTCAGGCAAGTCGGGAAAACACGCCCAGCTCAAGCGCAACAAGCCTTTCGTCAAAGCGCATGCCACGATTGCAAACGATCTCCCAGCCAGCCACTCCGCCAATGCAGGTGCTACTGACCCTTTCCAGCACTAAGCAAGCGTGCCAGGCAGCTTGCCCAAAGGGTTGAGGCGCGAAACTAATTTCAGCTTGCGCTTGTCGTGCAAAGCCTAAAAAACCCTCCGCTCGCGCGCAAGCAGCGGGCATGAGCAGCATGCGCAAGCAAAAGGCGCAAGCGGCAGGTTCAGGCAAGCAGCAGGCGCAAGTGACAGGCGCAAGCGGCAGTTGCAAGTGGCTGGCGCAAGCAGCGGGGAGCCCTGGTGTCGTGTGTAGGTGACTGTGCGCTTAGGCGCCAAGAGCGTGTCAGGTGCATACCATGCGTTCTGCTTACGAGAATGCCCCACTGCATTCAGCAAGGCAGGCAACTTATCAAAATCGTGCCGCAGGCATGGCATCACAGCTTTGATGCTCAGTTGTAGTGATACTCTGCCAGCCGTTGGAAATCTTCTCGCGCCTACATCTCAGGTCTTCTGCAAATCTGTGCGACTCCCGGCCAGCGTGTTGCTCGAACATGCAACACGCCTTGCACTTGTCAACCCGCCGGCAACAGCCGGCCTCTGTGTGGCAGCTATCGATGTAGCGACGCTTGCGCTTTTCAAGCGCTCCTGAAATTGCTCAGCTTAGCCAAGCTGCTGAGGCAAGCAAACGGACACTTGCCACACCATCCAACTACCGCAAACTCTGCAGTCGATTCAGCCCAAAAGCCCAACACAGAAGTAAACAAGCAATGCGTGGCGCTGCTTGCGCGCGAAAAGACAGTGATCCTGGGTGTGCCTTTCGCGCAGTCTCTGAGTGTGCAGTCTTTGAGCGCCAACTTTCTGAGCACAAATCCCCTCAGCGCCCAGTGCTACTGCAACCTTCAGGATGATCTCTGGAGTCTCATTGCAGGACTGCATCCTACACAAGCAAAACGCAAAGCTGCCAGGGTCAGAGCCAGGAATTGGAACTCCAAACAACAGCCTTCTCGACTGCGAGCATCGTCCAAGACGTTCAGCACAGCGAGATCGCTCCACAAGTCCGCGCATCCGCATCGGGCACAAAGGCTTGACTTGCCCTTTCCAACACTAAGATTCACTGTTGTGCCCGGCAGTTCGCCTACACACTGCAGGCGCAATCCTTGCAGGCTGCCCGTGCCCTTCAGTCACGCAAGCTATCGCCGTTGACACAAGCGAGGCTGCACTCGTGCAACGCCTGCTGGATATGCAAAGTCTAACATTTGCCAAGAGCTTGTCAGCGACAACGCCGTGCCCATGCCATGCTTTCCGCTACGATGATGCTCCACAGCGTTCAGCAAGGCAAGAAACTTATTAGCATCGCGCCTTGCCCATAGTCCTGGCTTCACAGCCGTGCAAATGCCCAGTGCGTGCTACTCTTCCGGGTGCTCGGTCAGACGCTTTGCTCTCACAGTCACAGCGCATCTCAAGTCCTCAGCAAAAGTTTCGATTGTCCAAAGCGCCCTCGTCTCACAAGCGCATTGTCATTTAGTCAACGGTATTGGCCCAGAGACTCAACACATGACACTACCACTCGCTCTTGGTGCACTCGTGAGACTGAGCAGCGTGCTGTGTGCATCCTGCACCCGAACAGCATGGGCGAATGCATTGTTGACTTCGATGCAGTTGAATGTAAGCCCGGTGCGAGTCTTGCAGCCCGGGTTCGCGAAGGCGTTGAGTGCTTTTCAACACAGTACACCCGCCTTGGGTGTCCCCAATTACGGAATTCACGGGGGCCTCAAGTCCGAATTCATTTACAAATCCAAAGACTTGCACGGGCGTTCGATGCTCAGGTCTGCAAGGGCATGCAAAGGCTGTCCTGCCAGCGGCAAACGATTGCTCGACAAACTTCTCAGAACAATAGGAACAGAGCTCCGTCAATGGATTTCTGCAATGCCAACCTCACAAGAATGCCCATACAGTTTTTCTCCATATGACTCCGTCCTTGAAGAATCTATCCTTCCGCTTGTAAATCGGAAGTGTGTCCTACGCTTGATCAGACCTGCTGGCAACGTCTTCTCACAAACGCACCTCAAGTCTTCGGCAACCCTTGATAGCTTTCTTGCGTGCGCTGCCTGTTTTTCTTGAAAACGTGCCACATGCGTCACACGTGTCAAACACGCATGGCCTGGCAAGGGCACTGCGAGGCGTCAAACTGCCCAGCCAAGCGGCAACAGCTGGCCCCTGCGTGGCTGTCGACATGGCAGTGTTTGTTTTGCATTTCAGGCTCTCCTGAAAAGCTGCTCAGCTTTGCAAGTCTGCTCAAGCACGCAAGCGCAGACATTCCGTGCCCTGCACCGACCGCAAGCACGCCAACCAAGTCGGGTCCAAAAACACTGGCACTGACAATCAAAACACGGCGGTGTGCGGTCCATTTCGTACCGCTCGCATAGTCTCTGATCGCGCAGCCTGCGCTCTCGCAATCGCCCATTGCCACCCAGCTCCATTACGATTCATTGCGGAGTCTTAGCCTCAAAATGCTTGCATGCATGCAAAGGACTACGTCCTGCACAAAGATTACACGGAGCAGCCAGTTTCACCTACACACAAGCTTCAAGGTACAAAACACAGCCAACTCAATTGCAGCTAGGGACTTCGTCTAGAAGCAGTCCCACCACGGCAGAGATCAGGCAGCTCTAAGCTAGATGGCTGGCCTCAGCACAGCCCAGACCGCAAGTCCGGGCTGAGAGCTGAGCAAATCTCCCCACCACCAGAGTCCGGGCTGAGCACAGCAGGGCCCGAGCCTCTCCATCACTATGCTCTCACGGCGCCTGGCAAACACCTGCGTACCGCACACATTGCAGGCCCTGCCGGTCACCCTATCACTCCGTCGCGTCGGTCGCGCACTGCCCCAAATGCGTCTCTAGGTTGCACGACAGCACGGACGAGCAGCTGGTACCAGTGGTGTGTCTGTGTGTGTTTGTGTGTGTGTGCCCCTCTCTGTGTGCATTGAGACAAGCGCAACGAAGCAGCTGACTTGTACCGCATGTCAGTAACAAGGCTGTGCCACTGCCATGCTTTCCGCTGCGCAGCTGCTCCACGTTCAGCAAGGCAAGCAGCTTGTCATCAACGACATGCCATGCCCGTACTCATAGAGCCAACTCCTGCACAAGCACGCAGTGCGCGTGCTACCGCGGAATGCGATCGTTATGTACGTCGTGGGTTTTTGGCCAATTGTTTTGATGCTGTGACTTCTGGCGTCAAGTAGCAACAGCGGGCCCCTACTTGGTGCAGCTGTCGATGTGGCCCTGTTTCTTTTAAGCACTTCAGGCTCTCCTGAAGAAATGCTCAGCTTTGCAAGTCTGCTCAAGCAAGCAAACGGAGGCGTGCCGTACCATTCCTTCGGCAAGCGTTTCGATTGTCCAAAGCGCCCTCGTCTCACAAGCGCATTGTCATTTAGTCAACGGTATTGGCCCAGAGACTCAACACATGACACTACCACTCGCTCTTGGTGCACTCGTGAGACTGAGCAGCGTGCTGTGTGCATCCTGCACCCGAACAGCATGGGCGAATGCATTGTTGACTTCGATGCAGTTGAATGTAAGCCCGGTGCGAGTCTTGCAGCCCGGGTTCGCGAAGGCGTTGAGTGCTTTTCAACACAGTACACCCGCCTTGGGTGTCCCCAATTACGGAATTCACGGGGGCCTCAAGTCCGAATTCATTTACAAATCCAAAGACTTGCACGGGCGTTCGATGCTCAGGTCTGCAAGGGCATGCGGAGGTTGTCCTGCCAGCGGCAAACGATTGCTCGACAAACTTCTCAGAACAATAGGAACAGAGCTCCGTCAATGGATTTCTGATGTCCACCTTGATTCTCAAACTACTCCTTGTTGATTGTACAGAATCGCATTAGTTGGTGAAACACCTTAAAAAAAAAAAAAAAAAAAAAACGACAAAACACACAACAGCGTTTTTTTTGTTCTGTGCCAACTGGAGCCCTGAAAGTCCATCAGCAGGCTTGTTGAACGGTGTTTTCAAGATAAACCGTGTTCTTTGGGGAGTTGCTGTTCACTGTGCGGGGCTTGCTTGAAAGATACAAGTGCCAAGTCAAGTTGCGCCGCGAACCTTGCTATCACCCAATCCAAAACCTGCTCAATGCCGTTAATCTTGGCATGAAAGAAATAATCAAGCACAATTTGACCTTGGCCCAAATTGCTTGAATGCCAACACAACAAGGAAACACACAAGCCGCGTGATTCGCCTTTCATTTATGTGTGAGAAAAGCAAACGAGCATGTGGCTCCCTTAAAGCAGGAGGAATACGTTTCGCGCTTTGTTCTTCTAGTGTGACATGTCGTGCTTTGCGCGGCACAAAGCAGAAAAGGTCTATCATGGCAAAACCCGGATAATGGCTTGAAACAGTGTGTCATGCGCAGTTCACCAAATTTTCAGTTCACGACTATAGAGTCCAAGAAGGTAAAACGTCCATGAAAAAAACACCGCAACGAATTGAAAAGGACAGCTTTCGCAGGTCTTGTAGCACAGCTCTGTGCCCTGGGGCCATGTGCTCAAAGTTGCTTCAATCTACAAACAACACAAGAAACGTCTTCAATAAGCTATCTACCATACTTTGCAAATTTGGGCATGTTCAGTTTTGCCATGCCTCCTAGATGATCGAGTCCAGATGTTGCTTCAACTGTGGTTCCCTGGCTAATGCGACTCAGCGCAACATGTGCCAGTTGCCCTTAAAGTTGATGTCCTGAAGCAAGCATATTGCAAAGCTTGCTCGCGCACAACTGCCCCGCCCTAAATGTTACAGCCAAAGGAGCTTGCTTTTAAGGGCTCCAAGTGCAAGAGCTTGGCCCGGGAACGGCCAACACCTGAGCCTAAGAAGTGGCAGGCAATACTGAAGTAAGTGGTTGCAATCCAAAAGGAAGTGCTGGCAATACTAAACTAAGTAGTGGCAGTGTGCTGGCAATACTAGACCAAGTAGTTGCAATCCAAAAGGAAGTGCTGGCAATACTAAACTAAGTAGTGGCAGTGTGCTGGCAATACTAGACCAAGTAGTGGCAATTCAAAGGGAAGTGCTGGCAATACTAAAGTAGTTGCAATCCAAAAGGAAGTGCTGGCAATACTAAACTAAGTAGTGGTAGTGTGCTGGCAATACTAGACCAAGTAGTAGCAATTCAAAGGGAAGTGTTGGCAATACTAAACTAAGTAGTGGCAGTGTGCTGGCAATACTAGACCAAGTAGTGGCAATTCAAAGGGAAGTGCTGGCAATACTAAAGTAGTTGCAATCCAAAAGAAAGTGCTGGCAATACTAAACTAAGTAGTGGCAGTGTGCTGGCAATACTAGACCAATAAATGGCAATTCAAATGGAAGTGCTGGCAATACTAA